AAATATAAATTTGAATTTGTATTTGATTTGATTTTCAAATCAAATATTCAAATGTCAAATCGAATTGCGGAACCCTAAGTAGTATAGAATACTTCAGAACTATTTAAAACTGGTTACATTTGTAATATCCTTCAGTGTTAAACCAGAGATTGGTAACAATTCAATTCTTTCGACCAGTATGCAATTTTCAACAAATTCTTTGAAAATTTTATAATAATCATAAGATTAAATTGAAATTAAAAGATAAATGGTTCAACTTATCAGATACCTTTTTCTTTAATTCTATATTAATTCCAATTTGTTTTGATATAGTTTCAACATTACCCAACTCATCATCATTATCATCTTGCACCTGAGAATCTGTCTAACTATCAATTTCTTCATTCAATTGTAACTTGTGATCCGTTGCATCCAACTTTGATAAATTTCCCTTTCGATGGTCTTGATAAATAACATTAGTCATTCGTTTTATTTGATCATTAAAATATTCTGAAAATCGTCTAAATCTATATCAACAAGTATAATAATACAATTAGTAAATTATAAATATTTTAAATAATATAAAATAAATTAAATACCATTATTTTTTTCAGAGTTGCGTATATAATCATTTACTTTTGCTCTCAACTCTAATATTTCTTGTTTGAATTGTTCTATACTTGAAACATTATTTAACAAATTTTCATATGTTTCTTATAATAAACAAATCCGCTTTACCCTATTGCCCTATCATTATATGCCGAATCTCTCTCATGTGTCAGTTTTTTACTTATTTTCGAAATATTTCTATCAAATACAACTAATTCATTATAGTGTTTTTTACAAAGTTGGTCATGTAGCTTAAGTTCTATAGCCAGACTTTGAAATTCAAAGCCTTTTAAGGCCTTTTGAAGTAAATTTGGCATCAATTGTCAAAATTTTTCATTAACATTATCATTGCTACAAATTACACACGGTCCTATATTTTTACGAGGTCTACCCTTTACCATTATTATTAATAGAAGTTTACTCTATTTTGGGATTTTAATAAAGTAAGATTTGAAGAATATATGTACGAAATTTCAATATATATTATTTATATATTTCTTTTTTTAAAGTAACAATAACAATATAAATGCTGATTATTTAAATTGATCATGTGCCACGTGAATTAACCAATAATCGTGAATTTTAACTATGCTTCATTTAATATCTAGATGATGAATTTGATAAAATTTAATTTTATTATAATATTTTCTATATATTTAGATATAACAGACGTTTTGCAATAAAGAAAACAATTGCTGATGCTAGTTCAGCTCCTATAGAAGCAATCCCACTCCAGTTACTGGAAGTTATAGCAAGGATTATGTGTGAACCTATGATATGAAAAGTTGACAAAAGATACATCATCATTGACCAGAGAAGAGTAAGTTTATTTCTTTCTTTTCCTTCCAATATAAAAACTCCATGTTTTTTTTTTATATTTAAGCATATCATACATGTAATTACAAGTGCTAATAATGCCACTAAATATATTTCCCATATACATTGAGTAACAGCTTTTCCATCTTTATTAATTTAATGCTTAATGCTGTAAGACCTATCCAACCAAGCAAAGATAGTGGGACTGTTATGTAAATACCACAATCTCTGTAAGCAGGATCTCTTGAATTCATTTGAATGCAATAACATTGACAAGTTTCAGACTCCGTCTCAATCCTGGTACTGTAACCATTACTTTCATACGTATTTTTATATTCTACTACACTTATAATACCATCGTTCAATATTTTGAAGCTTCATGGAGTTAATTGTCTAAGCGTAATAAGTATCACAATCTATTCTCCTTGATAACGTACACACATATAGATAGTTGGTACTATCGTCATAATGGATATTAATAAACCAAAAACATATTTTGTGATTTATATTGTTTATTCCATATCCATGGTGAGAACAATGGAAAATTGAAATATGCTAAAGAAATGTACAAATAAGGCAGAACCCAGCATAAAATTCCAAAGATTCCATATGGTAATCCATAGCAGGAGGCTTTGGTGTTCTAGTTCGTCAGAGAAATCTAATAAAGGGTTTCAATATTGTTATCTGAGAATTTAAATATCACAGCTTTAATTGATCAAGCTTACCAGAAACATTCATTGTTCATAAGCAATGAGTAGCGAGAGGGAAATATTTCATAAGGTTGTTTATAGTTATTTATTCATATTGGTTAAGCTTTCAGTGCAATGTTACATTCATGCATTTTGGTTAATGGCTACCCTCTTATGTAGCATGTTGTTTTTGCATTTAATTAAACTTGATGCAATTTGTACATATGTCGACTTGCAGAATTTATTCTTTGCTAATTATTGTATTAGGACCCCGAGATGACAAGGTCAGAATTATTTTCTTTTTTGTAGTTACGGTAGTATAAGGGATTATGTACAACAGTAATTTTGTGTATCATTGAAATTATTCGTCTAATCTTCGAAAATAATTCCAGGTGTAATATGAATTGTCCAGATTATGGACTATAGCAACATTTCTTTCAGATATATTTCAGATAAGACAATTTCGTCAAATCAAGCTTAATTGAGTTCGCATCTAAATATCTGCACAGCTCAGAATAATCAAATACACTAACATCTTTTATATATTTGACTGTGATAAATCAGGTTTACATATCATATATGAGCCTATATTTTGCTAGATTGCATAGTAGCATGTACTGCGTGGGATTAGTGATGAACTCACCTGCAGTTTTGCGCCGATTATTCCTTGATTTTTTTACCGATAAACTGATTTAATTAGTTCAAACGAATCATTAGATTCTTCTGGACTGGACAAGTCTATATACAGCGGGATCCCTTAGTTGCACATATGTGCACTGATTTTTCTTTTAATTCTTTTAAGCTTTTAAGTTGTGAATGATAGTCATCTAATTTCTCCAGAAAGCGCATTATATATACTTCTGCATTTTGCTCATTCAGTCCAAATATCTGGGTTAATTTCTTCGTATATCTGATAATTTCCTGTTCGTTAGATATACTATCAGATGAATGATTTTGATCAGTTACTATTTTTGTGATATTTTATATATGTTATATCTTGCTTCAGGTGAAAAAATAAAATTAATAAATGATATCAGACTGATAAATGTCCTCCTGATCCTTTAACCCTTTATACGTGATTAGTTTTCATCGAAAAGCCCGATTGCCTTTGCCTGATCATGAGGTTGTCCCTTTTTTCGATAATTTACTATAGTATAGTTTTGCGCTGGAGAGGTATAGTTGTCTGGTGAATGTCGAAGGGCTTGACTGGCAATAGTCATAGCCTCTGATAAATTCTTTGCACCATTTGAAATGACTGCAAATACTTCCCTAATTTACGCAAATAGCTAGGAAGGAGTGGTTTACCAGTTTTAGAAAGAAATCTATCTTTTTTCAGAAATGTATTAAACCATTTAACTCCTCGTACTCCTGGATCCCTCAACTGTCCAGAAAAAATTACATTCTGAATTCAAGTAAGGAGAAGTTTAGCCCACTCTTCATCTCTTTCTAACAATCTAAACACTCGAGGATTATCCTACTGATCTCAGTTTTTTGAATATCCAGTTACACTTCCATTAGAAATGCGCAAGTCTTTAATTTCAGCAGAATGAATGCAGAGCATGATCATTACATCAGCTAGAACTTGCACATCAGGTGTGTTAAACACGTCATACCCATTCAATCTTTCCTCAACTGATTCTAGCGAAAAGTGGTCAGGAAAATCAATCCCTTCATTTTCACGTTGCTTTTTACGCTCCTTTTGAATTTTATTAGATGAATAGGTTATCTCTGGAATCAATATAGCTGAGACAATTTTTTCAGAGGCTTCAAGGTTTTACAACTCACTTCGAAGTTTAGAGATTCAGAATGAACTAGCGCTAGAATTAGAGACAGATTCAGCTAAGGCTTTAGCTATAGATATTACTTCTTTTCGCTAAGATTATTCTGGGTAATTCGCTGAGCTATCATTTCGACAGTTTCTCCATCTGGGATGATGTCGGATATTTGGCATATATTAACTTTTCCTGCTTCACCTCCTCCTTCTTTGGGGGCTACTTGATTTCTACTTCGACAAATTCTTTGATCAGGAACTAGTATAAACGCCTGCTTTTTACTAAAACTATACCCTTTTTGAAAGCGCTGTCGACCCTTGTCTCTTTTTAATTTATCTGTCAAAAGCTCGAGTAATGCTGAGGTGTGCTAGTTATGTTCTTCATCACTCATATCTTTATTGAGTTTGTGCTCTGCAACGTACTTTGTTACAATTGCGGATATGATAATGTAGATATATTCTATAAAGTAACTATTAGATTATGTTCAATCGTTAGGTTATACTACGCAGGAAAAAGTTCAATTCGAAAAAAATATTCTGATAATTCACTACATCATGGTTAGTGAAAGCTATCAGAGGATTGGAAGAGTGAAAAAATAATGATATAACCTATACGGAGTCTCTATGAGGCCAGCCACTCCAGCTGGAATATGTTTTACATTGATTTGAAATTTGCGGGTAGATGGAATCAGCGAAAAAAAAAATATAATAATAATTTAGAATTTTATATTATCTAGTTGTAAAGAAGAAATAGATACCTCTTACCCAAACACCTTAATTATGCATAACGCCTTCAGTTAAATCGGCTTCTTATTCGCTCTTTACCAAAGCATACCATTCCCCTAGAGTATGCTTATATTTTTTTGCCATTCCTCATCATCATAAATATACTTTCGGGGTTTTTCCACATCCTCGAACTCCTGGTGATATATTTCTTCGCTTTTTAATCTTTCCCTTCTCGTCATGTAAAATAAATCGTTCGGGCCTATTTTATTTTTTCTAGCAAATTTAATGACTTCTGCGTCTGCCATCATTCTGTCTCGATACTCCTGAAATATTTTCTGTAATAGTCATGAACTTATCGGGATCCTCACCATGATCAGTGGCCCATTTTCTGAGACGTTTACTCACGCTGAGCTTTGGCAGATGATATTTCATTAGTACTGGATTTGAGTGCTCTCAACACTTTACTGATTTGCTCGATAGATTTTGGGGGCTTATTGGTTTCAGATTCATCGATTATTAGCTCAGGTGTTTTAGAGGTCTCGAATATACCAAATGTGCCAGATGTTAAGCTGACTGAAGCATGGGCATGGATATCTTCTGCCACATAGTCAAAAAGAGCTTGGACTTCACCATCCTGTTTATCTTTATTACTACTAGATGAAGGTGTATTCTTTTCTGACTGAGGTGGGATTATTTTTGGAGAAATAGCTTCTGGCACATTAAATATAGGTATGTCTGTGCTCTCATTTTCGGGTAAGTCAGATTGAGGTGTGTCGGAAAATTATTTGATATCACCTAGGCCAGATTCACAGAGCTTGGCTATAATTTTTGGGCGGTTGAGAATATACTGCCATTCCTTTTTTCTACCACCTGTTCGCACTTGTTTGCTTTCGATACCAATTTCAGAAAACTTTTTTCCAGCAACTTTACTAGCCAATAGTTTTTCACCATTCTCTCTATACCATTCAAGATACTTTTGATATAATAATGAATGACTTTTCATGAATACTCCATTCTTAGTCCAAGATGCAATATAGTCAATTATAAATTGAATGGGACTAGAAAGCTGATCATGCATTGTATCTACTTTCATTTTTGTAGAAGGGATTTCTCCTGAATTCCAGTTAGATATATCACGATTAAGAAGATATGTCATAACTATTCCTGATGCATCAGGATGGTCTAGGACTTTTCCTAACTGGTTAAAATATGTTGCATTGCCTCTACAGCATGCTGAGACATCAAAACAAACTATACAAGAATCTCCTATATCTATTTTGAGTGGAGCATCCTGATTGCTTGTAATCATATATCTAGCATAACCATTTATTTGTATAGTTTCGAGGCCTTTGCGTTCTATAGCCACTTTTCCTTCTGTTATAAGAGATTTGAGATATCCATTAAACCTATACCATTCACCGCTAGACATTCCTGTCTCATTCATGACAATTAGTTTTCGAGCTTGAATAGCGCTATTAAACCGTCCAAGAATTTTACCTAAATCTGATGTTGCAAAATGAAGTTGCGGTCCCAGAAATTTATTCCCAATAAAATCTGTAATAATATTTTTTCTGCATTATTGAAACATAGATTTTAAGACCAGAATTGAGTGATGCTTCTTTTCTGGCTTTTGCACTAGATATGCCCATTAATTCCAAAGATATTTGTGAAGCTTTATATTTTCATCACTGATTATATTCTTTGTATGCCAGAGAATGGGATCTATAATTTCAGAATTAATCTTATCTACCAGTTTGGCTAGAAATTCTAGGAAAAGATTAAAGTACTCAGTAGTTGGACGTGAATATTTCAAGGAATATGGGAGAAAGTTAATATCATCATAAAGTATTATACCTTTGATAACTGCTTGACTTATTAATGATTTTAACTTTATTGATTCCCTCAATATTCAATTATATTGATCCCAAATTTGGCAAGATCTAGTTTGTGTGCCATATCGAAATTAAGGCTATTTTCTGGATCTTTGAGCTTGAGTATTCAGGTTTGTGAAGTTTTCTGAATACAGGCGACTGATGCCTGAATCGCTTCATAAACTTCAGCACAAGAGAATTTTTTACCTGAAGTACACATACGCAGTAGGTCGCCTCATACAAAATGATCATTGGGGTCTGATGTTCTAGATCAGTCTATTTTTACTGGACTTGGAAGCTTTTTCTCTCGATCCAAAACAGTTTCACTAATAGTAAGCTTTAACGAAAGCTTTCCAGACCCAGGTTTCCTATCATTGTTTATCCGGTAACAGAAAAAGCTATATGATTTTTTATTTCGTCTAATATATGCATTTTCAGTATTATGTTTTCGGTCACATATTGGGCAATGCGAAGGAAAGATGCGTGATAGTGAAAATTTGTCAGGAAAATTTTCAGATGGATATGATAGACTATATCCTTCGATTCTAGCTTCTTGTAGTAATGTCTCTACCACTCCAAATTCAGCTTTAGTGGTTTCACTAACTATATTATTATTTTCCACTGGGAATCTTTTAACTTCTGGCTCTGAAACATTTAAGAGAGGACTTTTTATGACTTCTGATTCATCATTGGACGGTCGAATTATGAAGTCAAAGATAGTTTCATCTTTTAGACGAATAGCTTTTTTCACACGAATGTGTTTCTCTGTTTTTTCATTTTATTTAGGTGATCCAAGCATTCACAAGGAAAATGAACATTTGTTCGCTATATTATCAATAATACTATTTGCCTGTAGAGCTATCAGAAGTTTTTTACGTACGAGTTCAGTGAATACTATGACCTGAGCAATATTTTTAAGCCTCATATTAGTAGTGGAGATATGAAGAGACATTTTTTTGCATCACTACTGCTGGCAATTGTTAAAGTTTTATAATCCCATTCTGGAAATACCTCACGACATGTCTTTATAAAAGCAAGATATAGCAAATTACCTATCTCTTTACGTGTTAGTTTAGGTTCAATAGTATCAAGCATTTCTTATGATAAATCAAAATCTATAATAGGTCAGAGTGACTCATCTTCATCAATGAATTTGTGTAAGGAATGGCCTTCGCGATCTAAGAGTATGGCTTCTATTTCATCCGCATTATCTGCATCGAAAAAATTCTTTGGTCTAATATAAGGTTGCTAGACGAAATCAAGAGTTTAGACAGATGTCTAAATGGTAAAAGTAAAATTTGGTTAAATTATATTAAAACCTTATTAAAAAATTTGCAAAATTTGAAAAAAGGTAAAACTATATCAAAGCTTATAAAAATGGCGAAACTATATCAAACACTTAGTAAAAATTTAGCGAAACTAAAGGTTTTACAATTTTGCCAAATCCAAAATGAGTTTAGACAAGCAACCTTAGTCTAACATTATCATCACGAATTTTATATAGAGATGTACCTATATCGGAGACTTTGAACCTACAATAGTATGGGGTGGAAGCATCGAGGAACTCTGAAAGCTCAGATTGAGTCATGATATTATATCACAAATATACAATTCGAGAGAAACTATATACTTCGGGAGAAAAAAGTTTAAAATGAAAATTAATTCCGAAATATATAGATTGATACACAAACCAACTATCCATAGTTATTAAAAATGGTATTTTATCGATATAGTTATATCCACAGGAGTGGAAAGATTTGCAATTGAGGATGCTACCATCCAGAAGGATGTTATATTCATCGCAATTCTTCTTCTCAGGTATTTTGCAAAGAATGTGAAAAATTATCTTATTCTGGATATGGGTATTGCAATGATTATGCTAGAAAGCACCGTAAAAAGGAACAATACCATCAGAAAAGGATGATAGATTTAGCTTTGACGCAGATAGTGGCAGGTAATTTAGAGGTAAACGAAAATAATACAGTTTGTCACTAGAAAAAAAGATGTTACCGTCACTGAGAAAATTTTGGTGACACTCTTGGTGACAAACTTTATAGTTATTTCAGATTTTTAGAGCTGTTGAACGATTTCTAGATGAGTGTCCCTATAACACTAAGAGTCACTAAGAAAAATCAGACTTCTTTACTTTTTATTTTTTTTTATCTATAAGTATAATAAAATATAGCATACATATAGCATATACATAGCATACCAATAGTTATACCATAGAAAAAATTTGATATTATTTTTCCTAGAACTTTATTTTTTCTTAGTGACTCTTAGTGATATAGTAAAAGATATAAAAGAAGACAACTGAGCATCCCAAAATTCTGAAAAAAGCATATAAGAGCGTCACTAAGAGCGTCACTAACAAATTTTCTTAGTGTCAGCGTAGAAAAATAGCATACTTATTGCTTTGATCCAGTTTAAATGATAATTGGGTCTCAGAAGTACGATATCTATGCTAGAAAGCACTGTAAAAAGGAACAGTACCATCAGAAAAGCTAGCAGACTCAGCTTCGACGAAATACTGGTAGGTAATTTAGAAGTGAACAAAAATAATACAACTTAATGGGTGTCACTAGAAAAAAACTTTGATATATCTTGACTAGAGTCAAGTTAAACCTTAGGAATAAATATTCTGAAAGTATATATAATAAAACAACTGTTTTTAGTTACAGTTTATTAATTTATTAAAATGTCAAATTTTTAATATGCACATTTCATAATATACATAGTAAGAAAGCTAATCTGTAATGTATTTAATAAATTGCTTTCTAAATTAAGAGAATCTTTTTTCTAAATCATAAAATAAGCTCTTATGTCTACATCTTTTGTGAAAGTCATGTCTAACAGGCGACATGAATCTTCACTATAAATAATAGTCAGCAGATGAGTAGCTAAGTATTTTGTATTATCGAAAACTAGGAGATCTATGCTCTGGTCAGTTAATTTAATTGATTTGATTCCTTTCAAATTAGCACTTTGGCAATCACAGATATTAACTATGGTTGATTTAACTGGTCCTGTACAGTCGTTAGAAGTAAAGAGTTGGATACTTGTGGCAGAAACTAATGTCGAGTAAGCAAAAGCTATAATCTATTTAATGAAAATTGATAGTTATGAACTTAGCATTAATTCAAACCTCAAGAAAATTTATACATACGGCAATGCAAATAATGGTGCAAAATCTTATTTTTTCATTATTGAATTGGTTATTGAATTGGAAGTGCAATGAATATTTGGTATGCTATTAATAACACTGATGCAGAGTAAGCGAAGAAAGATATCATTTATAATAAAAATTGAGCTCAGCTTTTATCTTAAAATATGGCTTAAACATGGCTTAATTCTGGCTTAAAATATGACTTAATTTTGGCTTATTGCAAGATATCAATTGATCATCATGCCACAGCACATTATTCTTTTAGTAGCTTCTCAGGTAATAGGAGATTTCGTGATCACTAGCCCGTAACTATGTGAGGGTGTTCTGACGCCTCTTTTTTTATACCATTTCAATATCTTGAAAGGCAACCAAATAGGCGCATAATCTCAATATAGAACTGGTAACCAAACCAGCACAGAGGGCCAGCACCCTCAATATAGAACTAGGCATTTAAAGAAGGATGGAAAGCCAATAGCAACAATATAAAATTTATTATGTAAATGAATTAGGAACAAGAAGACAGCAGGCACCATTAGATTATGACATCACCATTAAATTAAAGCATTACCAGCTACTATTAGACTATGAAATCATCATCAAACTATACAGGAAATGATTAAAACAATGTTATAAACGCAAAAAAGCTATACATAAGTAGGAGATGAAATCATTATCAGATTACGAATAGTAGGTTATAATATTACTACCAGAGCATGAAATTAGATTATGATATTACCATTATATTATGAAGATACCGGTAGACTATGAGTTACCATTATACTATGAAGATACCGGCAGATTATAAAGTTACCATTATACTATGAAGATACTAGCAGACTGTGAAGATACCATTATACTATGAAGATACCAGCAGATTATGAAGTTACTTTCATATCCTAATCTAAGTCGCATGTGATTTCATAATATAATTATATTATGAAGTTATATGCGACTAGTTTATTTAGTTAATATTAGATTAATTAATCATAATTAGCATAATTAGGTTATTATATTACTAAATAACCTAGTCTAAGTCATTTATTACTAAATAACATGATCATATTATTTAGTAATAAATGGCCTAATATTAAATTTTATAATTAGTTATAATTTAAGAATTATAATTTAAATTATAATTAATGATAATATATTTAATAGCAAACATTATTATTATGAAAGTTAAATATTATTGTAATTAATAATAATTAATATTAATAATTATGAAATATTTAATAATAATCAAAAAAATAGATTAATATTTTAATTTATTATTATCTATTAACATAATAATTAAAAAGTATTATATAAAAAATTTTTAATTATACATAAAATCAATAATAAAATCTTTAAAAATAAAAATAATAAATTATGTCTTATTAATACTAATTAGTTTTTTTAAAAATTTAAAAAAGAACTATTGTATTATTTTTATTTTGATTATATTAAGTTAAATTTTTTATTTTTTTGAAATTTCAATTAATATATATTTTAATAGATTTTTATAATAAATAAATGGATAATTTAGATTGAACCAAGGTCAATCTAACGTGGTTGAGCCTAAATCAATTTCGTTTTAGCGTTAATGAAATTTTTTTAGAAAAAAACCATTGGAATATAATTTATATATATTTTATTGTAATTCTTTTGTTATGAAAATCCATCAAAATACAAAGTGATTAGAGACAATGTGCAATAAAGAAGCAATTGGAGGTTCGGTTCATCAACAAACCTTTTTTTTTATATGTACATATTACAGCAAACTTAATCCTTTTTTAAAAAAAAAATTATGATTGGTTAAAACAAACTCTTTTTTCTAGATGGAGATTAAATTTAAGTTCAAATATTTTTTTTTAAAAGAAAAAAAGTTACCGAACAATGATTAGTGTAGCCAATTAGACAAATAACTTCGTGAAATTGATGGACAATACGCGCGTTTAGTAGAATATGTAAGACGCGAAATTAATTCGATATGGGGAGTTGTCCAAATCCTTCTTTTTTAAGCAAATAGTTCACTTCATGGGTCATTGTCATGTCAAAAAAAAAATATCGAGTTTATACTAACCAGTTAAAAAGAAACGGTTTTTTTAATGTACGATGTAATGCAAAAAAAAAAAACTATGTACTTATGATATATAAATAAAAACTATAATCAAGTGTCACAAACCAAACCACAAGTGTAAAAAAATAAAAAAATTTTTTTTTGGCGGGAAAAAACTTCCTTATTTTTTAAATATAGAAATAAAGTTTCCCATTGTCATATCTCTTTTTTTTTTTTTTTTTGACAGGTTATTTTTGTGATATGCGGACAGATGCACATAAGGAACACGTTCTGCACATACTGTTTTTTGAAAATTTGTTTTACGCGTATATATTCCTTTATAAAAAATAAATATTCAAAAAAAAATAAAATAAGGTAAAAAGTTTTTTTGTTTGCCAATTCTCAAATATTTATCAGTTTTTTTTTTTTTTTTTTTTTTTTTTTTTTTGCTGCCAATTTTTTTCAAAAAAAAAAAAAATTAAAAAAAAACTCGAAAAAAAAAAAAAAAAAAAAACAATTACAAAATTATTTTCAGATTATTACAAGAAAATGCCAGAGAAAACGAAAATAAATATATATATAAAGAATATATATATATATATTACATACAACCGAATGCTAAACTCTCGTCTTAAACCTTCATAGAAAAAAATAAAGCCAATTTTTTTTTTTTTTTAAGAAATTAATTATTATAAAATTGTTCATTAAAAAATATTAATGGAATGGAATGATGCGATGAAAAAATACCTTATGAAAACCAAAATTAAAAAAAAAAACCTAAAAACCTAATGAATTTACATACATATTGAAGAACCAAAAGGGGGGAAGAGAAAATTACATAGAAAAGATAAGTACAAAGAAGAAAAGGAATAAAAATATATATAAGAAAAAAAATCAATGGGATAATATATATAAGCAAAAAGGGGAAAAAATATATATACGAAACAGAAAAAAAATAAAAAAGTGATATATAAAAAAACATAAAATTTCTTGTTGATTTTAGCCAGCAAAAAAAGTGTGCGCGCCTTTAGTTATGCTTAATTTGTGTTGTGTTAATTAAATGCGGTTGATATATTAAATTTTTTTTGCGAAATTTTTTTTTTTTTTTGATTTTTTTCCAAAAATTTTTTCGTGATTATTTTTTGTTTTGCTAGGCTAAATTGAAGTCTCCGAATAAATAACTTAAAAATTGAAGACTACTTGTGATTCATATATTGTTAAGAAAAAAATTGGTTCGATAATTTTTAAAAAAAAAAAAATCGTAAATAAAATTAACTTCGGCTATACAATTTTTTTTTTTTTTAAAAAAAAAATAAAATAAAAAAAAAACGCGTGAATGACAATGAAATTACTAAAAAAAACGTGTATACGAAGTGAAAAAAATTTGTGAAAATTCGAAAATTGCCTGGGAAATGTGTATGATTATAAACAAAAGGAAGGAGAGTAAATAAATATATATATATATACTACAAAAGAATAAAATAATAAACAACTTCTCAAAGTTTTTTTTTGTTGTTGTTTACTCTCCTTTCGTATGAAAAAAATATCTACATACGAGAACCATTTAAAGTTCGATTTATGCTATCGACTATATTATCGATATAATATATATATAATTTTTTTTTTTTTTCACGAAATAAAAAAAAATTAAAAAAAAATTAAACGAAATGAAAAAAAATCATGCAGAAAAAAAAGGGATTTTTTTTGTTTGTCAATTATACCGACCAAACGGTCGATACAAATACAAATACAAATACATACATATATATATATACATATATATATTTTACTATTTTTAAAAAACAAAAAATTAAAAAAAAATTTTTTTTTCTCTTTTTTTCTTGCAGTCTTGTTCTCCTTCAAAAATTTACAACGCTCACAATGGAGTTTGACATTTGCAACATCGTTTGAGATCAGGTACGTCGGCATTCTTTGGTTTCTTAAGCATCGCGTTGTATTCGGTCTTTAGTGGAATATATCTACATTCCGGATTAGTGCAAACACACTTTGTCTTCTTATATCTGATTGAGAAAGAAATAAAAGATAAGTTGAATATTTCATCAAAACGTGTTATAGTGAAACACCATGATAAAATAAAATACCAACCTTAATCCGCAGCTATTACACAACATGAGATCAGTACTCCAGCCCGGACGCCAGCACGGGGTGCTTTTGGTCCTGCAGCTGGCACAAACCTTAACCTTGCTACTAGATTCTTTTCTGCCAGAAACTTTTGGACCTCTCTGCACCTCCGGCTTTCGTTTCTTTACCGGAGGAGCGAAATCTGGGTCGTCTTCATCATCCCCAAAATTATCTGAATTAAGATCAAAATCACTTAGTTCTGATGAAGGAATAGATGAGAGCGATGATACAGACATAGAATCACGACGTTTGGACGGAATGCGGTAGAAAGCAGGAGATGATGACGAAGTAGAACAAGAAGAACCGCGAGGAGACTTATTCTCACCAGAGTTGGACGATCTGGAAACTTGGGAACCAGAGGAAAGCAAATTTGGCTTTTTTGAGGGACGACCGACTGTGGGGATGCGTCGTTTTCTGTTCACTCTACCTTCTTCACCTGCTGTCGCATTTCCGTTCGGAGAATCCATTATATGCTCGAGTCCAAATAGTTCCAATTCTTGATTCTCTCTCCTATTCTTTGCCCTAGTTACGGGCCTTCTCATCTTTGATCGTCTTGCTTGAGTTAACGAACGCACGATATCTGGCAATAATACAGGTCGATGAATTATCTTTGCGGCAAGATTCTTGTGGTGATTCATTGAATCCATGATCGTTGTTCCTTTGCACTTTAAATTCTGGGTCGATTCTGATGATGGTTCATTGTCAACGACGGTAGATGATTCCGCTTCCGTCCCGAATGAATTGGTCTCTTTCTCTGTAGTTTCATTATTGTTGACCTCATTGTCAAAATGATTAGGTATCGCATTACCGAAAAGGACCGGAAAGCTAAATACAAATCCAGGTTCACGTAACAAATCCTCATGACATGGGGATTTGTACGGAATCCCTTTGCGTTTACTTCTTCTAACGGATCGATCTGGAATTTGCATCATTCTAGGTGCGGCCGCAGCGGCAACGATGGCGTTAACTATGGAAGATCTGGATGAAAGGGTAGTGTTGATGTTCTTCTCCTTTTCATTGATTTTAGATTGTGACTGATTTGATGTGGACTTATGATCCTTATTATCAAGACCCGAAGTGACATTGGTTGATGGGTTGGTAAGCCTTTGCAAAACTCGGGCACTATATGATGTTTGGGTGATACTTGATGATGATGTGATGATAGATGACGTGATAGGACCGGATGCTACGCCCGATGACGTGATGGATGATGACATCACGTTGGGCCGATCCGACGTAACCGAATCTGATGAATCCTCCTCATTAGAGATTGGCGGCGTAGACGCGGAATCTGACAGATCGGGAAGGGATGAGACAGATTCACAAACTGAAGGGGGGGCAGAGATCGGCAAATTTCCACCATAATTTCCACCACATTGAAATGGTGAAGAATCTGGTAATTTAATATTATTTTCTTCAGCTATTTTTGCGATTAGGAATGGAATTAACGCTTGATCTTTTATATAATACCGAGATTTTGATTGGGAGTAGACGAAAGGTTCGGGGGTTAAAGGTTCTGATGAAACTTCAGTAGCATCGTGTGCAGAAGGAGAAGCCGATAAGATGGTATGATTGACTTCTTGATCTGTCGAGACATTTGAACTTGAGAAGAATGGATTCTTTCCATCCGAAATCTCATTCGCCGGTGGGGTCGGTATCCCAAAATTCGGAGACATATCTGAGGTTGATATTTCTGATTGCGCCATATGATTAATTTTTGATAAATCAACCTAATCGGATGAATTGGGAAGTGTTCAAAAAAAAAAAGAGAAATTTTTTTAATCGAGGAAAATAGATCAGTAATTAAGTGATTGAAAATGGATCATGAATAAAGTAAATAATGAAGAATGAAAGATGAAAAAAATGAACGGATCGGACAGATTGATTTCAAAGAAAAATGCAAAAAGTTACAAGGAGACAAAACAACTAATGAAAGTTCATCAGATAAAATAGCATACATCGCGTTAAAAAAATAAGGGTGCAATGATAAAATGTCGATCGAAAATGAACAATATAAACGAATAGAATAAGTAAAAATAGAACCATGCGTTCAAAACGAATGACAAAATAAAAAAGGATCAGGGAGTTGTCAGGGAAAAAAAAGTGGTTGAGCAGGGGAGAAAAAAACTTCTTTTTGGAACAGAAACATCGAAATGAGTAAATAAATAGGTGATTAAGTTATTTTTGAAGGAGTCAAAGTAAAAAAAAGAACATTCTAATTGTAAATTTCCTCTGAAAATTTTCGCTCATTTTACTTCTTTTCATCCATTTTCTTTGTTGACGAACTAACGGAAAAAGATACTTACAGTTGTTTATTTTAGAGCGTAAATCAAGACTATCAAAATGATTCGTTAAAAATGGAGTTAAAAAAATACTCTGCACGTACGGTTTTTTAAAATAATGATAAATAATAATAATAATTTTAAAGGGGGGAGGGGAACAAAATACAGTGGTCAAAAATCAAAATTTTTTTAAAAAAAGGTGATTGAACCGAGCAAAATCAATTTGAGTGGAATCAGACGATTTAAATATCTGCTAGGGAAATATAAATTTTTTTTCTAAAAATAATTATGTTGAATTATGTATGTTTATAAACAAAAAAAAAATATTCTAATTTATTCGTTATTGGGTGATTTTTTTTTTTTAAAAAAAAAAATTAACACTCGAACAAAACTCAAGACTCGTTATTTGGGAAGAATTTTGATTAATAACCAAAACAGAAAGAGTTTGGACGTAGTGAGAAATTTTTTTTTTCTGACCGGACAAGAGGGGGAAAGTTAACCAGTAACGAGGTAAAATATGTTTATTATATAACATATATATTTCTAAATTTTTTTTTTCTTAAATATAGTAATTTTTTTTTCTTTTTTTCTATAAATCAAATTTTTTTTTAAATATACGAAGAGAAAAAATAAAAAATAAGTCTACGAGAGAAAAAAAAAAAATTTATGTATTATTTTTTTTAAAATTTTTTTTTTTTTGATTTATAGTAAAGAAGTATGTTGTGACGGAAAATGTGTGAAATTATCAACGGATTTTATATCGCAGAAAAAAAAAAAATTTTTTTTGTATCTAATATATTAAAAATTTTTTATATATATAAAATTTTTTACAGTAAAGATAAAATAAATTAAAAAAAATTAAAAAATTGAAATCTAAATTTTTTTTTTAAAGATGTAATTGATATATGTGTAAGTATAAATAGAAAATACAAACGTTACACATCATATTTTTGATATTTTGATAGATGATAAGCAACAGTTTTTTTATATAGCAGAGGGAAAGAGGATTATTATATTGAAAAGTGGGAGAGTAAAAAAACCTGATTTCAAACTTGTAAAGAATGAGTATGATTTTTTGTGATTGAAACACAAAAAAAAAATTTAGAGAATTTTTTTTTAAAAGAAGCACAGGGCACAACACACAAACATCAACCGAGCATGGAAGGAATATGAAAAACTTTAAAACCACAAAAAAAAATAAAAATAAAATAAAATAAAAAAATCACAATTCACAATTATATGGATTTATTCGAGAAGAGATTTTCCCGATCTTCTTTTTCCACTAGCAAGAGGGGTAGAGTGGGTAATAGATTCACCTCTTATGATACTTAGTTTAAAGCACTGCATTTTTGATTATGATGCGTAAATTAACTAATTTTTTTTCAACAAATTTTTAATTAAAAAAAGTGAAGATCGAAAAAATAATTGGTCGATTTGCAAAATAGTACGACCAAGCGTAATACTTTTTAAGGTCACAGTATTTTGAACATTATGGCATCAATTATATAAATATGGTTAGCATATAAACAGGTGTCGATGTGTATTAGAGAGGAAACAAATTGAGTGGACGATAAAAATTTTTTCAAGCGGAAAATTGAAAACAATGTAATAATGTAATGAAGGAAGGAAAGTGGAGAACAACAGAGCCCAAGAAGAAGGGAAATAAATGAATGTACAACTCATGCTGGTTCCAAAAGGTAAATAGTAAACAAAAAATAAACAACACACGGACAAAATATATTAGTTAATTATGAGGGGATACGCAGGGATTGTTACAGTTAAATACCACCTAATTTGGACATCATCAACTATCTTTTTTTGAATCAGATAAATTCTTGAATATTTCCGAGTCGAGAAGGTTGTTTTAATATTAAAAAAAATTTACATATATATAAAAAAAATAAAATTACAAACAACAAACAACTACAAAAGTACAAACAGGAAACTTTATGCCGTTTGCAAAAAAACCCACGATCATTCTTATGAATGAAATATATAAATTGTTTGTTTAACTCGTGATGGTTATGTCCCATAATCTGGATAAAAAAAAATTAAAAAAAAGAAGAGAATAAACATTTTTAATGAGAAAAGGTGTGAGAATTAGAAAATAGTGGGAAATTTGAGGTGTCACGACCATAATAGAACAATTTGGCTATTTAGTCATTCCACTCGCACAAAACAAACTACCTTAAACAAAACAACAACAAATATGCATTGATGATGATATCCCACATAATTTATGATGTGATACCTTTATTAACTTACCAAGTACACGGGATTTGCTGCGCCAATTTGACGAGCTATTCCGCATTTGGTAATTAATAATTAAGTTTCTTATCTATATCACGTTAAATAATCATCTGTACTCTTAATTTACAAACCATAACTCTCTGATATTGTTTATTGCAAGGGTCGTGAATGACAGACACCACACGCCATCACTCGTGGAGAAATCGTATGCATTGCGATCTACACCTTACCTGACCCAAAATAAATCCACTTTCTTTCTGAGGAAATACTTATATATGTATATTTTTTTACGAACCTTCTAAACGAACTAATGTTGTTAGGAGAGTCAAAATACGCCATGCCATATCATATGATCTACTTAATAATTTTTTTTTATAAAAAAAACGCCTAGTTTCCTAATTTCCTATCTCTTGATTTCATAAATCAATCACAACAGAATGAGAAATCCTCTGTTTATCTTATATTACATTTGTTTGTGGTGAGAGAATGCCTTGTCTCACCTTATGTATTACATCGGGATATTACAACTTATCATGGATTGATCTCCACGCATTAGATCGGTTTAAAATGAGACCGTGATTAATCGGATCAAAAATTACTCGACAAATTATTGACTCTTTAAAGGCATTACGGATGAAGGCTCCATTTTATACTTCATAAACCTCTCATCTTTTGATACATTAAACATTTGAAAATGGTTTTTAAAGAAAAGATGTTCGGCCGATCCACATTTTGGATCATTTCCGAAATGAAATCCCAAATTATTTTTTATTTCATGAATAAAAAATATCTTTCTACAAAATATCAAAATCTGCAGAATTAAAATCGAAATGAAAACAAGTCGTAAACTGAGACTTTGGGAATAACACAAGTACAACTCCTGATTGTCCGTTTAATTTTGCGAAGGCGATAGTAATAAAATACAAGGCAATTCATTCGTTGCTGTTGTTGGTCGTCAAAGTTGAACAGTGGTGAACGGTAGTTATTTGTGTAAAATCTGAGAAAAAAAAATTTTTTTTTTGATTTGACTTATTTTTTCCAGACACAACATTTTATCCTTAAACCATTCGCTGGTTAGTAAATAATAAGACTTATCTCTCATCAACATCGTTATCGAACAATATCGCAAATGAAACTGACATAAATAGTATTAATGTATTCTATCTCGTATTCAGGAACCGTATTTTTTTTTTTGAATCATTCTGATTTTGCACGATAAATATTTACTTGTAACACCAATGCATCTTTATCTCAAATTTTCTATTATATAATTTAAAAATTTTTTGATTAAAATTATTTTTGCATGTAATATTTCATACAGAAAGTACATAAAGTTATTTGCCAAGAACCAGAACTTTAAAAAAAAAGGGAAAAAGAAAAAGAAGAAAAAGGTTAAAATTCTAGATCGATTTATGTACGACAACAATATTGATTCGAATCTACAATTTAAAAAAAATTTTTTTAACCAATAATTGAATAATTGCTTATGTTCTAAACCAATGATGATTTGATGATCTCAAATCAGCAATTAATTAAAAAGAAAATAGATTAATCATACTAGAAATTTGTAATTTTTTAAACTTTAGTTTTTGTGCTATTCTCAAAAGTTATTAGTTGTCGTTATTTTCTTTTCTAAATCTGTAATTTCGACAAATTTTTTTTTTTTCAATTTGCAAATCGCCTTTTCATGATCAATATTAAAAAGAGTAGTATTCTTTCAAAATTTACTTTTTCTCTGAGATGCAAATTTTCTATTTTTTTCTCTAATAAAATTCTTTTTATGTATATGCGGGATAATTTAAAAGTTTAAAGCATTTATTGCCAGTGACACAAGAGTGAGTGTAACCCATATGATTTTTATTTTGTGGTGATTAATATATGGGGAAAACCGGAAATTTTATATACCACCATGGTACCAACATTATTGTTTTGTGTTAATAGTGGTATGATAAAAATTTTAGAAAGAAAGAAAGAAAGAAAAAAAAATGCACAATTTTGACTAAACGAATTAATTAAAGATTTTGTTTTTTAAAATTTTTGGGTTACAAATATTTTGAAGTTTGTGAAATTTTGAAAAATTCTTTTGTTGTTCATGAAACAGTTTTTTTTTTGACGAGATACATGCTATATCGATATCATCCTGGGTTGTGTAACGAAACGAACCCATCACGCAGAATGTGATGATCATTTTTCAATTTTAACCATATTTTATTTTAGTGAAAATAAAAATAAACTTTTTTGGTATCTATCAATAGGTTAACTTTATTAGTTAATAATTCTCAATCAGCTATTATAAATACAAAAAAAAAAAAAAATTCTGAAATTCTTAAATTCTAACTAAACTTTAAAGTATCTACTGCACGATGGGATTTTCAATGCACATATTTGCATTATTATAAGGACTTTTCGTTATGTTATAAAAGAAAACATTTTTTTTCTGTATGTGAGAATAAATTATTATTTATATTCCTTTTTCATTATAGATAGATAATCCTCCACATTGCAAAAACCGATTGATTCGAAATTACTACGATCCATGATTTATTGGATCCCATTTTCTGATAAAATTTAAACCCAAAGAATAAAAACAAAACGTTTCAAATCTTTTTTCTCTTTAAAGGAAAGATCTTTTTTTTTTTACTTCCAAGGAAAGATCAATAAAAATATCTGTAAAAAGATCAACTGTCAAAGATATTCATTACTAGTTAGCTAGTTGTTCTTATCTTACAAATCTACTCCAGTGTGAATTACAGTTTGTAGATCCATTGTTTCATGTAAATATGTATGATGTATGTAAGCTTCTACCGTATCACCTAGATTCAATTAAGTTTCATTGTACCGAAAAAAATTTATAAAGGGTATTTTTATTACTTTACAAATGAAAGTTTACTAATTTAAATCTCATCTTGTGCTGTTGATCGGTTTATATAAAAAAAATTTGGTCTTCTCTCGTTTCCTTTTTTAGGTCAAACCTTTTCGATCTTATTCTATTTATTATTTAAAAATAAAAAAAAAAAAACCAGAATCAAGTGGTTGTAAAGATCTTCATCATGATGTCAAAGTCGATCACTTATGATAATTATGAACTTGCCAACCTCATTTACGTTAACGTTCTCGAACAATATCTTTTTTTTGTCTTTCTTTCTTCTTTCTCAAACATTATAGAATTGATCTAAACAATAATTCTCGTTGTCCCAAAAAAAAAAACAAAAAAAAAAAATTTATCGGAATGATTAAAGTCTCGTTATGTAATCAAGAATGTATCACATTCACTAAAAATGGTAACTGTATACTTAAACCTAATTATAATGTATATTAAATTATTTTTTTTTTTTTTTTTTTTTTTTTTTTTTTACAAAAAGGAAAGATAATGTTATAAAAGAGACATATTGTTGTCAATATGTACGCTAATTTAATCGAAAAAAACTTTTCATGACGCGCATACATTCTTTTACATACATTTTGGAATTTCCTACCTATGAAAAGGAATTGTCGATCGTTTCGGTGGCTACAGTTTTTTTCTTTATTAATCAATTCCCCTCTTTTTGTGTTCTGAATGTGCTTGTTGGTCATAGAAGAAATGTTTATAGATGAATAATGGTCACTTTTTTGTTTTTATTTTTTTCAAGAAAAAAAAAACATACATATTATACAAACAAGTATGACATTAGAAACATTAAAGATGTCCTTTTTTGGCAGGAGAGAAAAAAAAATTTCAAGACCTAGCGTCAAAAATTGGTTGGTATGTCAATTAATTTTGTTGCGTTACCGTTGAATATAAAGAAAGGTATTATTATATACACGCAATCTTTTTTTTTTTTTTTTCATGGATGTTGAATTAAATGATGAAATTTTTTAATCATTTCTAAATGTTCAAGTTTATTAATTTAATGTGAAAAGTTTCATCATGACGCATGACGAACATCTTTAATTTTATTTTTTTTATTTTATCTTCCAAGAGGAAATTTATATGGATTCTTACTAAAGTCGGTTTCAATCTTACAATCATGATCCTTCTGTGTAATGATGTTGATGTTTGTATTTCCACATTTCAGCCCCCTTTTCTTCTCTAATTGAATAAGTTCTTTCTAACCTCTTTTTGAAGAAAAATAGAATCATTTTTTTTTTTTTTTTTTTGAATAATCAAATGAGTAAATGTATTATGTGAAAACAAAAAATAAATAAATAAATAAAAGGATTATACAACGAAATGTTATTATAATGAAAGGAGTAACTTTGATTGACGAATCCCGCTTTGGAATAAAAAAAAAAAAATTTAATGAAAAATAAAACTGACAAATAAAACATCAAAACGATTAAAACCCGTCCAACCATTTATTATTATTATTATTATTTTTTTTTTTTCTCGATCGAGGTTATTAATTCTCGTTTTAACCCAAAATATATGTTCTAATGATTGAATATCGAAATGAAATATATTTCGAGTTAACCTATTTCATACCCCACAAAAAAAAATCTATCCATCAAAAGGTTGATCCAAATTTAGTTTCCACATTTATTATTCTAATACCTAAAAATATTTCCATTTATTCCGAAACAAGAATAAACTAAAAAAAGATATATTTTTCGTTTTTTAGATCAAGGAAAAAATCTTATTTTCATTTTTAATCAGCATAATAAAATAAAAAGATCCCTAAATTCGAATATTTCGTGCATTTAATTGTCACAAAATTGAAAAAAACGTGATGATTAAAATCACGCAAATGAGTATTCGTATCATTACTTTAAACAAAAATGTAATATAATATTTACATATATATATATATGTGTTTTTTTTCCAAACAATCCCTTACTTTCAGTTAAACAAGAATTAGAATCGATAATAGTACTACCATTCCCCGTAATGCACCGCACCCATATTTTAAATGACTTTCTTTCTTTGATAAATAATTAAAAAAATTTTTTTTTATTAATCACACTCTCTTCTGAAGAAATTAGTATCACATTTTAACTTGAGCAATTTCATCCGTGCAGATTTCTTGGATTTTAATTAAATACTTTTGACATCACACCAAGGAACAGTAAAAAAATGTCACAGCATTCATATAATCAATCATCATTCATGTATACAATATTCCAACTTTCTTGATACCTAATCTATTATAAATGAATGTCAACAAGAAATCTTAATTTGTGTTCATTCATTAGTGAACTGACGCGTGGTCATACAATTGTAACCAAGGCATCTCTTTCCATTTATAGTGTTGACAATAGAATTATTTGATGTTGATCCATCATAGTTAAAAAAAACCAGTGTTTGACCGCCATTTCATATCAAATGGCCAGCATTAAAACTTGTTATCTAAAATTATCCTTGTATCTCACTGTTTGGGAAGGTGAAATGTATCATTACACAATACAGATGACTTTGATGATCACGAGCCAACTTCTTTGTATCACTTTTATGAATGACACGTTTTTAATACTTCTGTCAACTTAACTTTAAACATCAAATTTTTCCGATCTTTTGATTGAATTACCATAAATAATATTTCCATTTACGAATTATAATGTCGTTCGCGAATTACATTTCAAACTCCCTAATTTATTACTTTTTTTTTATCTTGAAAAATAATTGGTTTTACTATATCAAGTTATAATAGAAAATCATTTTATCATTTTTAAACTTTTTTTTTCGATCAATGGCGCTGCGTCATAATGTAATCTTTCCCGATTTAGCTAATTTGATGCTGAGAGAGGCGACCGGTTTTTCAGTAATGGTTCGACCTTATCTCTTTTCACTCCATGTTGTTCATAAAATTTTTCTTTTTCCTGTAGTTTACGCTTCTTCGCTTCGTCTTGTGATTTGTATTTGGACTTGTCTGATTCCAAATCAATTCCCATCTGATCGCTGAACGATTGGATACCTAATAAAAACATAAATATTGAAATTCTAATTTCACTTATAAAACACTTTTACCTTTAAGAATGATTTAATCCTAACAAACCTATAAATAACCGTTTGTAATGATTTAATTTTTCCTTAATATCATCATCGAGTTCTTCATCGTCAGAATCATCCTCATTTTTCTTCGCTTCCATGTTCACGCCCAATTGTATCTCATCATTCGTCAACTGCATATTCAAACAAGTCTCCTTGAACCATTTATAAACTCGAAAATTTATGAGAGATTCTCTATAATTTTCATTCTTTACAAGTTCCTTGATGTAAAACCATAACAATTTTGGTTCCTTACTATCTTCCCAATATTTCAATATGAATTTTTCTTCATAATCATCCAATTCTAAACTTAACAATTCCTTTTCATATACCTGAGTTTCTGTCTTATCCTCTACAACACATATATCTAATATTTTTATCAAAAGCCGCCTATTAACGTTTTCATCATCATCTGACTTGTTTTGTCGCTAGAATCGAGAAATAATTAAATTGAAATCATCGAATTAATAACAATTGTATGTATTGGATCGCATCAACTTACTGCAAACTTTAATGCTTCGCTAGTATTTATAATACTATTACGTATCAGAGCTTCAATATAAAGTTCCATTATTTCCGTTGATTTTTTTACTATACAACGGAAATGAGAATATTTTAGTGCGTGATCTGGACATGAGGAGATTAAGAAAAGTTTCATGATCTTCTCATCAATTCTTGGAAATTCTGATAGTAAATTTTTTACAATCGGATCAGAAAGACATCTAACAGCCTCATCAAATCTTTCATGATCTAATTCCCAACATCCATCAACAAATATTTGCATATCCTGCGATGAAGTCAAATATCGCGCGATAAATTTTTGAGATAGTTTTGGAATAAAACTCCAATCTCTCAATAAATAATACATTATACCATATTTCCAAACCAAATCGTCTTCATTATTTTTAAATATTTCTTCAAATAATCGTTTCAAATCATATTTACTATCAGGTGGATATAATAATTTATCAAGTTTTTGGCTTTCAAGTAATATGTCAAGCATAAGCTCATTTTCATATTTTTCACGCCGAGTTTCAATGTCTTTAAATGATTCAATGTTGTACGGTCCAATTTGATTAAATTCCAAATCAAACCATCTCTCGAATGATGGTGTACCATCATCATCATCACTTTCATCTTTTGGCAGAGGTGAGATTTGATACCATTCAACTTCATTAGGCAAAAGAAGTTTAAGGCCTCGATTATTTTGATCCGCATAAATATCTAAGAGAGGGATTTCATTAAGATTTGATGATTTTCTACAAAGCGAATCTACACGATGCCAGGTCATTGTGACACGATTTAAATTTTCTACTTTGTAATGTGTCACCTCTATACCATCAAGAGAACGATATTTATTTGGTCTATAGTACATATCCAATGCTACATATAAATTGTGCCCTGTGTCATCTGATGTAACGAACATGGAGATGATTTCACCTCTTGTAACATCCGCTCCAGGATTTCCGAAGACTACATCTATTTCATTCCAATCTAACTCGGTATGATTAAACGATACTCTTGCGATTTGTACTATTGGAACTCTTTCAAGCCGAGCCAAAGGAGATCTATTAAAAATTCGAGAATTAAGTTTACCATACCCAATGAATATTAACCGCTCTTTCAAATCACTCAGATTACGTATAACTATGTGAGTGACAGGTGGCACCGGATCTGAGGTTCCAATTAATCTCAACAATGGAATTTGATGTGGTTTATAATCTGATCCATCATTCATAATCTCAAAACATTCTATATTTCCTTGCACACCTCCTGCTATTATATAAAAAGCACGTTTGTCATCCAATCCTCCATTCAAATTATTATTATACGTATTCACAGCTGTAATAGAATCTCTGGTGAACAACTTTACATTAAGATCTCTTATGAAATTAAAGTTGTGTTGATTATAAGGATTATATGTTAACCAATAGATTGACAATCCAATTACTGAAGCAAAGATGAAAACATAAATTGATTGTGTTTCATCCTAAAATTAAAAATGATATTATCGTTCATGTTATTTATAAAGAATATAAAAGAAACGATTAAAACTTACGTTGGTTTCAATTTTTTCAGAAACGACGACATCATTAATTGAGGGTATCATAGAATCAAGGTTAATCGGTAATGGTTGATATTCGGAATTAACAATATCACAAATAAAGCAATGATATAAATTTTTCTTTGTTCGCGAGCAAACCAAAAGACTCGCGTTATCTAAGAAACAATCTGTAATGTAAACAATCTCCTTTATTTCGTTATCTCCAATCAATTTGTTTATTATGTTATATTCTTTAATACTAAAAGTTCTAATAAAATTATCCGTTATTGCGGAGTAAATTTTAATTTCTTTTGAGTCGTAAGTATAAAAATATTCAACAGAGTCTATTCTTCTATGATATGTCACGAACGCTCCGCGTTTTGCGCCGCGACCTCCCATTTCAATTTTTTCCATGTTTCTAAAAAAGCAATTTAGTACCTATTATTTTTTTTTTTAGTAACCAAAAAATAATATATACTTATATAGATAGAGAACACCATAACATACCTGTTTGAAAGAATAATTGACATAAATATTTTGAATTGAAATAAAAAGAAAAAAATAAAATAAAGAATTTAGTATCTATTGACGGTTTTATATGATATGTTAATCATGTGACAATCGATTATTGAACCAATAATCTTCATCAAATGCGACGAATTTACGCGACAATAGCCAATAACATGATAAGAACCAAATAATAAATAACGACAAAAAAATTATTAAAATTATTAAATATTAAATAATAATTTCATTAGGAAGAAAATGCTCTATTTTTAATATAAGTCTATTACAACATATAATAATAATAATAATAATAATAATCGAGTCTAATAATAAAAGTTAAGGAAAAAAATTTATACAAATATTCTTTCTAAACTACTATAAACACCTAGGCAAAACATTAAATGGCCTAATGGGCTTCGTTTCTTCTAAATCAAAAGCAAACCATAAACACTTTTTGGCTCTTTTAATTCTATTAGTTGCTTGACATACTTTACCAAGATACAACCTAAATATAATAAAGGTATTTAAGCAATAAATTTAGTATATATATATATATTATTTTTTTTTTCTTAAATAAAAAAAAAACGCATACCAGGCTTCTGCACAATTCCATCCATTACTTTTCGCAACACCGTCTAAAAGTCCTTCAGCTATCTCCAAATCATTTGTTTCCATATAGGTTCTTGCTAAATGTACCAAACTAGGTACATGCTTATCATCAATTGCAAGTGCTTTATGGAAAGATGTTATAGCATCAGTATAACTACCTTGCGCAAGCAACAACAATCCAAACTATGATAAAAAAGGAAAAAAGAAAATTTTACTTCCAAACTCAATAATTTATATTCCATAGCATTACAGCAAAAAATTGACTATTACCTGACACCAAACATCAGGACTTGAATTATCAACTTCTTCGGCATTTTCAATGGTTTTTTGCGCTTCCTCGAAATTTCCAAGCCTTCGGAAAGTTGAAGCTGAAGAAAGCCATAAATCTGTCAATGCTTTAGCAGCACGTTGACGACGTTGTCTTGTTTTTAATGTAGTTACTTGCAAAGCAGGCGTAGTAGATTGATTAACTAATTTTGCTGCACCTACAATTGTTGATGTAGGACTACGTCTTAAACCAGATGATGCCGAATTCCTTGAGGATGCTATGGATGGCGCATAGTTCGTTTTAGGCACATCTATTGAAAAAAAGAAAGTCTTGTGAATCATCAAAACAACTTATCATAAAAGAAGTTGAAACCTACCAAGTGTGTCCTTGTGACCAACGCTATAAATGGATCCTTCAGTGCTAATATAACCTTCTTTTTTGTCAGTACTAGTAAAGCTCTTAACACTATTGTTACCAACAGGGGGTTTAACAGTAGCAGCTGTGATGGTTAAACTCGTAGCATCGTAGATTGAACCATTCGGTGATGTTATAATATTATAATCTGGGAATACTTTTCCGTATAGCATAAATAATTTATCAAAATTCTGTATGGCAACTTCAGTTCCGCTTGATAATTCCTGCAATGCATTCTGTGTCAATTTAAATGAAAGAAATTCATTTCCATCATCATTTCCTATAACAGACAATGTACTATAATCGACTGTGGGGTCAGCTGTATCCCAATCTGATTCTTTTATTGCAACTTCACATGCTTTAAGTGCTCCTTGAATGTCTTTCTGAGAAGAAAACAATAGCACTAATAAATGCCAACATGACATTGAAGAATCTAGTGTTAAAGCTTGTCTTACACTAATTATCGCTTGGTTAATGTCCCTTGTCATGGCATATTCAAGTGATAATTGGTAATGAGTCTCAAATGCTTCTGAATCTAATGATATTGAAATTTTCAATGCTTCGATTGCCTTGCTATGAAGTTCCGGTCGCTTTCCTGGATCAGTTTCTAATTTATAATTATTTTTAATAAATTTTTTTAAAAAAATAAATTTAATAATTAAGGGCAAATATACCTTCTGTAGCCAATAAACTATATCCAACTCCAACACATCGCCAAGCACGTGCTAATAAATCATCATCATCCAAACTGTTGTCATTCTCATACCAATTTACAGCCTTTTGTGCAATTTCCAACGTTGAATGAGCCTTAAAATAAGAATGGTCATTTCAAAATTTTAGCGCAATCATGATAAATGATTATAATATAGATTCGTTATCTACCTTATTCATATATTTTGCCATCAGATCTGAACCAGAAATCAGTATTAGGATAACCTGTTCAGAAGGTTCAACATAGGAATTTAATTTAAGGTCATGAGATACACCATTTTCGTGTTCTGTCAACGAATAATGCATCTGCTTTTCGATGTCTTCAATTTTTGTTTTCTTGGCTCTTTCAACAAGTGCAATATACGCGTTTAAAGCTAATTCGGCTTCTTCATAATCTCCATATATAATCAAAGTATTTATAAGATGTCGCAATATCCTTGGGGATTGAAAGGTTTTATGTGTTACACGGTGAAGCATCTTTAAATAAAAGGAATTATGAATAAAATTGTCACGTTATGTAATAATTCTTGCAGGAAATAATAATGCACAAACCTCAATTAATCCACGCATTTCTGCAGCAGTTCCACCACCCAAAACAGCCCAATCAGACATAACCTGATCGACCATCTCCAACATTCGCGAATTGATTTCTCCAGCTTTTGGAAAAGTAGTAATCTGGTATAAAATATTCTCATACAATGAATGTAATTCAGTCAATTCAATACGAAACGTATGTGGAGTATAAACTGTAGATTGTTCACTATAAAACAACAGATTTAAATTATATTACATATTTAATAAAAGCAACGTAACAAATTTTGATATTACCTTGTGTCAAGGGATGTAGCACTTGGTGGAACATAAGTTCCTTCTTGATATATTCTTGATAATAATTTAATAAAATATTTATATACAATTGCGCGTTTTTTGATTCTAAATTTGTCTCCCCAAAGTGTAGTGTATAACTGATAAGTGCGAAAAGCCTGAAGAGCTCCACTCGTGTCACTGATAAAAAATCAAATATATTTTCATAAATATACTGACAATAATAGTTATTTTGATTGTAATGTTAAGATTTCGGAATTACCCTAATCGTAATTTCAACAAAGGTGCATGATATAAAGCCTCTTCAGACCAATCCCACAATTGATCATGTTTTTCATTAATATTCTGTGACAACAATATTACAACCTGGTCATAACATGCAATGGCACCAACAAAATCACTTAAAGCTTCATGAGCCATCCCTAACAAAGATCAATTTTTACTTAGTAAACAAATAAACAAGTAAAAATTATTTCTAAATTTAACAAAAAATTATAATGAATTGTAAGCCCACTACCTTTAAGGGTTAACCCTTGAACAACAAGTACAAAATTGTATCCTGTTGGTAATTCTGATGGAACAAAATCCGTACTTAAAGTCTCCACACATTTATCATACCTTCCGACTGCAAAATGGGCTCTTGCAAGTATAATTGACGTGTACTATGAAGAAATTAAAAATATACAAATATTTAGCCTACATTTTCATTAAATAAGGTTCTCAATCCAACATGTATGCAACTAAGATTACTATTTCCAACGAACACCATAAAGTTATTATATAATAATAATAGCAATAATTAATATACCGTAATTTTTTTCAAATTTAAGCATCACCTTTGTAGTGAAAATTAAAATTGGAAGCATGTGGAATAATAATTGAATCATAAATCAAATGATTCTTATAAACCTCACCTGAATCAATTTTAATCTCAAATCACAAAACTAAACTCTACCATTCTAATATTTATTCCTCACCTCTTTCTCTTGACCTTGAGCTTCAGCCAAGGCAACGTTGATTTTCTCATACACACTCTTGACTAATACCTCATCGACATTAGGTTGTAAAGTAATATTTTCTGGTGAATCATTATCATAATTACTCTGTGAGAAATTTTGTTCCAATTCAGTTTTTTGTATTGCTTGTACTAAGTCATATTCTGCTAATGCTGTTTGTTGGAGAACTATATATTTTATTGTAAAGCAAAGTAGATTGAGAATTTTTGCGATAATCAAATGTGAACAATAAAAGTTTAAAGCTTGCCTATTCCAGCTGGATTATGCTTTCGATATTTTCTTGCTAATTCAGTAACTGCGCTCCAGGAACCTATATTTGAGTTTCAAAAAATAATGTTAGTAAATCGAAAATTAATAAAACTAAATATCTTTTTTTAATAATTACCTTTGCATCGGGCAGCATCGAGCTCTTTTTCCCTCTGATTTGCTTTTGTAAGGTTTGTCATGGTACAACTTTGAAATGATTTAAAGTTAAACAGATGAAATAAGCGCGTGGTTTAATTACTAGAATTTTAAAATAGAATAAGCAAATGTGAAAAATAAATTATTAAAGATCAATTAAATGCTTTTATTTTATTAATTATTGCGATCTAGATTTCAAGATCTAAAAAATCCAACTTTTTTGTCGAGGGTTATAATTCGAAAAAAAAATATGTATAAATGTTGTACGACAACTCTCCACGCGCGTGAATCATAGATTAGCGATTTACCATTGTAGCACAACATAAAAAAAAGTTTGTTGATTTATAACGTTTTTAACGAATTCTAGCAATTAATTAGCAACTTATACTAGATAATATCATCATTCAAATTTACTGATTATTAGTTGATTTATAGCCGATTTGAGAGACTACACAACTCGTATCATGAGCCAGGATTAAACTCTTATACTCATGATGCAATAACAGATAAGAACCGATCACAAATAAAAAAAGGCATTTACGCTAATCGCTGGTCCAATAGATCATATATTTAAAAGTTTTTTTTGGTTGTGAACTAGGCTAAAGACAATTTTCATCGAAGTTAAAAAATAATTGTTTCGGGTAATAATTTCCGAGGCACATAACTTAAGATAATTTTTTATTAATACAGTCGTCCCCCTCTATAGTCACCCCCTGTATAATCACATCATATAAATCCCTCATTATAAGCACACATTTTGTAAGAACCAATACCTATTAATGCAATATAAAAAAACCTCATTATAATCACAGTGTTTTTATAGTCATACCCTTCCAGAACCAACGCTTAGTAACAACAAATAAAAATCCCCCTGTATAGTAACTTTTTATTATAATCACACTTTTTATTTTTGGTGTGATTATAAAGGGTGACGACTGTATTAATCAAGGTTGACTATTTAAGAGCAAGAAATTAAAAGCGAAATCTTTAACAGCTACATAAAGAATAAAATTTTAAGTATAATTAATACTATGTACCGCAAATAATTAATGGTAAAAATATTATAATGACTTACTAATTGAATAGTGAATGCTTACTAAGTTCAGTCATAGTTGCGTTTGCGATTCAGTCTCAGGATGGAGACGACTTTAGTTTGTAGCTTTTAAACCAGTTGAATCTCTACTGCTGTCTAATGCTTCAGTTGTATCTGGTGCGATTGGAGGTTGTTTTGTCTTACATGTAGAACTACCCAAAAGGATCTCCTGTGCTCGAGTAAGGTAACATTCAGCTTTAAGATATCTTTTTGCTTTACTAACCGCATCATATTTGTAGTTCCAATCATCATTTTCTGAAAAGAAATATAACTTAATTGTTTGTATACGAAATTCCGATTTCAGGTCATTAGTACATTTATTCATTGGACTAACAATCTTTTCAATTCTTTCTACATTGATATCATCTGAGTTAGTTAAATAAATATTCTCCCATTGTTTCGCTCGTTTTTCAGTTCTCTTTGTGCTTTTTGTTCATTTCTAAAAAAAATGAAATAAAAGAAACGTGAATCAGCAGTTCATAAATATGATCAAACAAATTTGCACTCAGTACTCTCAACAATAGAAGAGTTGACTTTCAAACAGACAAGTTGTTTGATATTTATGAAAGGTTCCTCCAGAACTAGTAGATCTTAAAACAGGAAAATTCAAGCAAATTAAAAATAAAGAAGTACCACTCTTTTACAGATTGTAATGGATAATACTTTCTAATTCACGAGCTCAATATTTCCCTATAAGAAATCGAAATAAGGAAATGATACGTTTTTTTTTAAGGTTTGTATATGTAATTAATGATTCTATATCAAAATTCCGTATGTTTTATAATGATTTATTTTTTTATAATTTTT